GGGAGGAGTGGGGAGTGGGAGGGCTTCCCTGATATGAAAGGCCAGCTTGAAGAGAGTAAGGGACGTGCTCTGCGTGGCTACAAGTGGGGAACTGGGGCTCCAGCCATGGCCACCTGGGGTCCTCACTTCTACTCTGTCCTGAAGCTAAAGAAACTGACAGACACCCAGGGGGGTGGCAGACATCTGGAACCCGAGCTGCTCGGGAGGCTGAGGCAGGAGGAGTGTGAGCTGAAGGCCAGCCTGGGCCACTTAATGAGTTCTTGGGATGGAAGCTCACTCTGCAGCCCAGGCTGGCCTCGAACTCGAGGCGGTCCTCCTGCCTCAGCCTCTTGAGTGCTGGGATTACAGAGCTGGGCCATCAGGCTGAGATCAAAATTTTAAAATAGATTAATAAAAAGGGTTGGGGACACAGCTCTGGGGTCCAACCCCTGCTATTGCAGAAGGAGAAGGAGGAGAAGAGGAGGAGGAGGAGAAAGGCATGTCCCCTTGACTCCAACTCCACCTTCAGCTGTTTGGCCTCAGGGTGGGAGCCGGGCTGCTCCGGATTCTGCTGCTTCTCTCCCGCTGTGCCAGTTCGCTCTCAGATCCCTTTCCCGGGATCCACTGCCACCTGGCTTCTGCAGGGGTTCAGCCCGCGGGAGGCACTGGCGCCCAGCTCAGATCGGTTTTCTGCTCCTCTCTGGCGCTCCTGCCTCCCTTCTGCTTTCTCCCATGTCTGCTTCCGGTTCCTGTTCTGGTGCCTTGCTCAAGCCTTGTCTCTCCAAGGCTTCCAGTACCTTTAAAATTGGCATCCAGATTGGCTGCACTCTATCTGAGTGTTTGGCGGGAGCTGGTTTTTCCTAGGAGGCAGGTCCTAGGGTGAGGCAGGCCGGGACAGACAGGAAGGTGGGGGCAGGCAGTGTCCTTGGGCTGAGGTCCTGGTAGGGGAGGGAGAGGAGGAGGGAGACAGGGTGTGCTCGGAGCACGCTACTCTTGTATGCAGCTCTGGTTTCCAATTTTTTTCTACAGTAGATCCACCTGGAGAGTTTCCGTGACAAAGGTGGCCCCACTGCAAGACTCTCTGATCCAGTGGGTCAGGAATGGGGCTTGAGGGGCTGTGTTCTTATCCTCTCCCAGGTGAGGCTGGTGGTACTCGCCTGGGGACCGTCCTTTGAGACCTGCCGGGCTGCTCACCTGGGCAGGAGAGTGCCTGGCTGGACTCAGTGAGCACTTGGGACTGGACCAAACTCTTACTGCCGAGTAAGGCAGCCTACATGCAGCAAACGTAGGTCAGCGTATCCATTCTGCACCTCTAACTGAGCACGTATTGTCCACGCATTGTACTACACATTGGCCACAGAGCGAGACAGACAAGAAGGTCCCTGGTCTCAGGGAATTCCCAGCCTAATGGCCACACTTTGGAAAGCGGGGCTTCGTGGCCACACAGACCCCATCAATCTGAATTAAATGGAGTGGTTGTTTTGGGGGAGCGGATGCCCCTAAAGATGCTCATGTTAGTGACTACTTTCCTGTTTATTGCGCTGTTGCAGCAGCCTTTTTGACCCCTTTTTCATCACACCTTGTAGGGAGCTGCGTGTAGCCGCGCCCTAGGATGGCGCCGGTTTCCGTCTTCCACCCCCTCAAGGGGTGAGCGCTCCTGGAGTAAACAACTCCATATTAGGCCAAGGCTTGGGCTAAGGCATTGCTTCCGCATACCTGGACCAATGGACAGTACATACGTGGCA